TCTTTGCCTCCTGTTTAGTTCCTCTTTCAGATCGTTCTCCATGTTTATTGAACGCCCGAGATATACGTAAAAAGACGTCTCCGCTATTGGAGAGCCTTCTAATTCCATATCCTGATCCTCGCAAAAACGTTCTTTATGAACTGAGTCTTCTTCCGGTTGATTCTCGTAATCGACGAAGGTTAGGACGAGAGGTAGACGGTACCCTCGGCAAACCTCGATGATCCTAGAAACTGTCTGGATGTGATCCACGCAGCTGAATCCCTTGCGAAATCCAGCTTGTTCTACAGGTTGGGCTTCAACCAGTGTCCTAGATATGCGAGTGAGAATAATTGTCGTAAAAAGCTTGTAAAGCACGCTCAGCAGGCATATTGGACGGTAGTTCCAAAGATCCTCCCTATCACCTTTCGTATGAAGAAGGATCGGGAGGTTCTCCACTGGTCGGGGATCCTTTCCTTTTAAAGGTAGGATGTTTGATGTTCCACAAGTATCTCGTGCAGGCGATGTCCTTCAGCACGTAAGAGGTCGACCGGAACATGGTCCGGTCCCGGAGCCGTGGCTACCTTCATGGCCTAAATTGCGGCGCGTACTTCAGCAGGTAGAATCCTTGGTGGTAATTCTCCAGTGGGAATAACGGAGTTTGACACGGGTGTTGGTGAGCGGAAGAGATTGGCGTAGAATTTCATCGTGATCGATTCCATCTCTTGTCGGGAAGATGTGAGAGTCCCGTCTTCGTTCAGTAGTGTTTTCAGCGGAACACGATAGTCGAGAAGGTCCCTGCGGCACATTTTTAGACTTGTCTTCTTGCAAAGCTGATTTGCAACTGTTATTGGCTACCAGTCGTTCGAGATGTGATGCGGTCGCGTCCAGCCTCATGCTCTTCTCTAGCAGATCCTTGGTGGCTTTCAAAATTCGCTCCAAGTTCCTTGTGCGAGGCATTGAAGCACTTTCACCACAGGCTCTCATTCCTCTAAAAAGATCCAAATTTTTTGTCAGGTCCTCCTCGATGGGCCAGCG